GTGGATAGCGTTGAAGACTATTATTATTATTATTATTATTCTCCGACTATCCTTTGCAATTGACTTCCGAGCAACTTGCTATTATTATTATTATTATTATTGCAGGTATAAAAGAGTTAATTTACTTTTCTGTTTACCACTATTATTATTATTATTATTATTTATTTGTCAACTATCTGTGACACGGACCTTTTATCGAAGTATTATTATTATTATTATTATTGCATCCACGGGCTCAGCACATCCAACCCATCACCTCTGTTATTATTATTATTATTATTATTGCAAAATTAATGTCATTATTTTTTGTAGGAGCCTGTGTTTATTATTATTATTATTATTATTGTGGGAAAATTCCAGATAGTGACATAACTGCCTCTTCTGTATTATTATTATTATTATTATTCACGAATGGTCGACTAAACTACACATCAGGATCATCATGTATTATTATTATTATTATTATTAACCCATATCTACAGATTGATCTACACACACTTCATATCTATTATTATTATTATTATTATTGGAATTCTCGAGCAGATCAGTGGGTKAAGAWCTACACACTATTATTATTATTATTATTATTAGCTTGGACAGAATACAAGGAAGGTGGACAAGTCAAGGTTATTATTATTATTATTATTATTCATAGCTGCTGAAAAAAAACTCTCAGTGTACATTTAGAATATTATTATTATTATTATTATTAAGTCTGACAATATAAGATATCTTCCAGGTAAAATGATATATTATTATTATTATTATTATTGATCTTAATGGTATCTGCGCTGTTTATATGTTTTATACCTATTATTATTATTATTATTATTAAAAAGTTATCGATGACATGTGACTATTTGTTTCCGTCATATTATTATTATTATTATTATTCAGGGACTCAGAAGTGAAGCATGTTGTTTATGGAGTGTTTATTATTATTATTATTATTATTCCACAAACACACCAGGGTCGGGTGTGTATGAGAACAGAGTATTATTATTATTATTATTATTTAAGTGAGTTTATTTATTTTAACATTTTTGCTTTAATGATATTATTATTATTATTATTATTGTTATTATTATTATTTATAATTATTATTATTATTATCATTATAAATACTCCTTTTTTTAATGTCAAAGTGT